TTGATTATTAAGAACCTTAGTGTATATTTTAAATACTAGCTTTTTATCAGAAGCATGCTTTGCAAACTGTCCCCCACTCTGTGGTTTTTCATATCATTTTCTTAGTTTTTCCGTTTTTTCCACAGAGCATGTTTTACAATGTTTAATTCAAGTGGTAATCCAACTGGTAAATCCAATTTACCAGTCACTCCCCAACCATGAACTGTTATTACATGAAATGTATCTAAAAAAACTCTCCTATGTTATCTTGTGTGCATTTATTTTGCTTTTTGCCTTTAGGCATATTATCTATTTTAATTTTTGTACATTTTTTTTCAGTTGTCTCAAAACTGTTTCTAGAAAAAGTTATACTTATTCCTTTTAGCTGCCTTTACTCCTTTGACAACAATTGATCAACTATTAGTGTAAGTCTGTTTCTGGGCACTCTATTCTTTTGGACTTAGTTTGTCTATTTTTTGGCCGATAGCACATGATCTTGATGATGATAGCATTTAGAGGCATTATGATTTGCAAAGCTTTAATATGGTTTCCTGCATCATACAACATTCCAGCACCACACTGCCTTCCAGCATCCACTTCCCTCCACCATTGTCTCAATGCATCCCCTGAACCCAACCCCCCAGTCCCTCAGCTTTGGCAAGCACAGTGTTTTGATTATTACAACTTTCCAATTGTCTTAAAGTTGTATAGTGCTAATTTTTAACATTGCTCTCCTTCAATACTGGGTCTTTTGCTTTTCCACAGAAATATAGTCGGTTTGCTGATGTTCTCTAAAACAACTTTCTGGGGTTATTCCTTGTCTTTATTATAGTGACCTACAGGGTCTGTACTGGTTTCTACCTGTGGTTTCTTGCTCTCTTTTAAAAATATTGGAGGTCCACACCTGGAGATTCTCAAGGGTTACTCCTGGATCTGCACTCAGAAACTATTCCTGGCAGTACTTGGGGACTAGGGATTGAACCCAGGTCAGTCTTGTGAAAGACAAGTGCCTTACCCAATGTACTATCTCTTCGGTCCTTCTGGTTGTGATTTCTTCATTTCACTTTTATTCTTTTTCCTTTCTCTTGTGAGGAAGGGTATAAGGCTCTAAGATGCATTTTCCTACTAATCGTGAGCTCCTTTTTGTGTGCTTATCATTCCTTTGAAAGTATTCTTCAGTGGAATGTCTAGTCACATTTATTTTTTTCCACTTGAAAAATTAGGCTACTTGGACTGGATCAATACTAAAACAGAGTATTTGCCTTGCACATGACCAATCTGGGTTTGATGCCCAGAACTCATGTGGTCCCCTGAGCCCTGCCAGGAGTGATCACTGAATGGAGAGGTAGGAGTAACCCCTGAGCATAGTTGGATGTGGCCCTAAGACAAGAAAGAAAGAAAGAAAGAAAGAAAGAAAGAAAGAAAGAAAGAAAGAAGAAAAAGAAAAATTAGATTACTTAAATTAGCTTGCTAGAGCTGTCAAACAGAGTGAAAAATTCAAGTGGCTTGATGTAACAGAAATGCACTGTCTCATAATACTGTAAACTGGAAGTGCTGAATCGAGGGGTTGGCAGATTCTTCCACTGAAGAGACTCGGGAAGGATCCAGGTCTCTCAACGAGATCTAGTACCTTGAGAAGTTGCTGGCCTTTTGATGGCCATATTGTCCTTGTCTCTCTCCTTTGTGTAAGAACATAGCCTATTGGTTAAGGCCTAACCTCAAGATTTCAACATGATTTAAACAAGATCTTTGCAAAGATCTGTTTTCCAAATAAAGTCATATTCAGTCCCCAAACTTAACTTTATTACTGAATCGAGAATTTGTCGATTTTTGTTTTATTTGGGGGCCTCTCCCGGTTGATGCTCAGGGGTTACTCCTGGCTCTGCACTCAGAAATTACTACTGGTAGTGCTCAGGGTATCAATAGATGCCGGGGATCAGACCTGGGTCAGCCACATGCAAGGCAAGCACCTTACCTGCTGTACTACCTCTCTGGTCCCAGTCAAAGAATTCTTTGCACATTCCACATTTTCTTATCAGACATCCGATATGTAAATCCAGTCCATGAATTGCCTTTCATTTTCTTACCAGCACGTTTTGAGCTATTAAAAATTTCACTTTTAGTTCTCTTTAAAATAGTATCTAAAAGCTATTCTAGTTTGGACCACATATTTATAGTAAACTTTAAATTTTGATGTACAGTTGCCTCACCTCACAACCACCAAAGTGCCCAAGACATTCCACCAATGTCTTTGTTACATTCAGTTCTCCTCATAAATCCTCTCCCACACGCCGCTTGCCATTTCCTTACTTCACATTTTCAGTTCTGCAATGCAGGCCTAAGAGTTTTCATCATTGCTGCCTTCATTTCCTTATTTTGTTTCTAATTTACCATAGGTAAGTGAGATCCTGCAGTATTTGTCCTCCCTTAGGTTTATGTGGCTTGACATAAAACCCATCTACACTGCAGCAAACTGCATGTTGCCTGATTTCATCTTTTATGGATGCATAGTATTCCATTTTGTTCATAGTATCCCATAACTTATTTGGACATTCATCTGTCATTAACATTTATTCCATATCCTGGCTACTGTACTAAGTTCCCCAATAAAAATAGGTGTGTGTGTCTGTATATATATATATATATATATATATATATATATAATTTTAAATTAGTATTTTTGTGTTTTGGGGGGTAGATGTCACGAAGTGGAATTGTAGGGTCATAAAGGAGCTCTAAACATCCTTTTTTTGAGAAACCACCATACTGAACCAGACAACACTTCCACCAGTAGGAGGCGAGTTTCTTCTTCACTGCTCCTTAACACTGTTTCATTTTTTTGATATGTTATTCTCACTGGTATGGGCTGGAGCGATAGCACAGCGGTAGTGCGTTTGCCTTGCACGCAGCCAACATGGCCGACCTGAGATCGATTCCTCCGCCCCTCTTGGAGAGCCCGGCAAGCTACCGAGAGTATCTCGCCCGCACAGCAGAGCCTGGCAAGCTACCCGAGACGTACTCAATATGCCAAACACAGTAACAACAAGTCTCATGATGGAGACGTTACTGGGCCCGCTCGAGCAAATCGATGAACAACGGGAGGACCGGGACCGGACTGATTCTCACTGGTGTGTGGTATCTATGTCATTTTGGTTTGCTTTTCCCTAATAATAAGTGACATTGGGTCCAGTGAGATACAGCTGATAAGGCACTTGCCTTGCATGTGGCTGACCCACGTTCAATCCCCAGCATCCCACTGGTTCCTTGAGCCCCTCCAGGAGGAATCCCTGAGTGAGAACCAGGAGTAAGCTCTAGGCACAGCTGGTGTACCCCCACCCTCAATTTTTATTTATTTAATTGAATCACTGTAAGATAGTTACACACATAATATCCAATTGTCTTAGTACCATTTCTTGGTGTGCAGATAACTTCTCCCTAGAGAGCATTTTGGGCACTTTCATGGAAAATCAATTGGTCACAAATATAGTGGTTCATTTCTAAATTCACAATCTCTCGGACTAAGTAAATCTCCCTATGCCAATACTGCACCACCTTAACTACTACAGCTGCAGAGTGAGCTTTTAGTTTAAAGCTTCCTATTCCAGTCTCTTTTTACTTACTGTGGCTCTTCTAGATCTTCTGTGTTTTCATATTGTGAATGAAATGGATTTCCTAATTTCATTTAGTTTGTTCATTACATACAGAAATATAACTGCTCTTTTATTTTATAAGCTTGTTCTAACAAGTGAGTGGATTCTCTAAGACTGTACTTACAGAACCATGATCCTGTCACTGTCACTGTCCTCCTGTTGTTCACTGATTTGCTCGAGCGGGCCCAGTAAAGTCTCCATTTTGAGACTTGTTGTTACTGTGTTTGGCATATTGAACACATCATGGGTAGCTAGCCAGGCTTTGCTGCATGGGCGAGATACTCTCGGTAGCTTGCCGGGCTCTCAGAGAGGGGCGGAGGAATCAACCCGGCTTGGCCGGGCTGGCTACTCACAAGGCAAATGCCCTACCGCTGTGCTCTCTCTCCAGCCCGCAGAACCATGATATCATTGAAATAAAAAACTTTATTTCCTTTCCAATGACTAGTGCTGCAATGAACATTGCAGTACAGATGTTTTTCAGGAGTAAGCCCTGAGCACCAATGGGTATGGTCCAAAAACAAACAAGAAAATTAATGAATCGCTGTGAAAGGCTGTTTATTTGTTTGTTTTGGGTCACACCCAGCAATGCTCAGGACTAATTCCTTGCAGCCAAGTGATCATACAAGGTGCTAGAGATTGAACCCACGTTCGCCACGTGCAAGGCAAAATGCTCTTACCCACCGTACTATCACTCTAGTCCCGGGCGACACCTTCTCTTACCACCCGTGGTAGGCAAACAACGGCCCCCAGGATATTTGCATCCTAAGCCAGAGCTGTGACTGCACAAAAGGGGACTCTGAGGATGAGTTTAAGTTAAGCCTCTTAAAGTAGGAAGACTTGCCTGTTTTATCAAGAAATCAAAGAGGGAGGCAGAGTGAGAGATGAGACAACAGAAGATAAAATTGGAATGATGTCCCCGCTGCTAGGGGCCATAGCCAAAGAGCACAGATAGCCTTAAGAAGCTGAAGAAGGCACAGAAAGCTTCTGCCCTGGGCCTGCAACTGACCCTGCTGATTTTAGTGCAGTAAGAACGGTAAAATACTGTGTCTTCTTTTAAGCCATTCTGTGTGCTGTGACCTCCAGCACCCCCATCTCGTGTGCGCCCGTCCTGTCTCCCTGACCGCTGGCTAGGGAGGAGCAGCCGCATCACAGGGTACAGGGAGGACTGGCGGCGGAGCTGTGTTCAGATGGCAGCTCTGCAGTGTCAGCTCTGGGCAACCTGTCTCTGTGACACCCGTCCTCAGGAGGGAGGGGGAGAGCCTATGGCAGTGCTGGGGGAATGCAGTGGGACCTGGGGTGTGACCCGCAAGGACCGCTGGCGCACTGTCCTGCTGTCCAACTGGCTGCTTGCTTTCTCCCTTTCTGTCCCAGTGTGTCTTCGGTGGTGTTCTCAGAGGCACCGGGAAGCAGGCTTTCGGAGCAATCGTGAATACTCTCATGTACTACGTCATCGCTCTCCCTCTGGGCATCGTGCTGATCTTTGTTGTCAGAATGAGAATCATGGGTATGTGCTCCATGCGAGGGAGAGCTGGCTGCGGCCGTGAGCCCCAGACACGCTCCCACTCTCTGTCTTCCACAGGCCTCTGGCTGGGCCTGCTGGCCTCTGGCCTCGTGGCAGTTGCTGCCTTCGTTGTTTACACCTTCCGCCTGAACTGGAAGCTGGCTGCGGAGGAGGTGAGGAACAGGGAAGCAGCTCAGCCAGAAAAGGCCCAAATGCGCCACAGTCTCAGCAGTGAGCTTCAGTGCTTCGGGGGAGTCACGGCTGGGTGGGGAGGGGGGCGGCGAGGGGGGAGGCGCACCTCAGCTACAACATCTGCTCTGTTACTCACCACTGGACAGTACCAGCATAAGCAACACTCTCCAAGACCCAGAAAACACAAATTCCCAAACCTTCCTTAGCCAGCCCCAGCTGCTGGCAACCAAGAGGACCAGAAATTCAAGAGTCTGAATCTGGATGAGCTGGAGTGCACCATGATTTGTACCGTGACAGAGGAAATGAAATCACCTTGCCCACACCCTAGAGGAACCTCCAACACCCAACACAGGGCAGAGGGCATTTGGTTTTCAGACACCAGAGAGGCACAGCCCAGCTGGAGGGGGTGGGGACAGGGGAGAAGGGGAACAAAAAGGGAGGGGAAGGAGAGGGAAAGGGGGAGGAGAGGGAGAGGGGGAGGAGGAGAGGGAGAGAGAGAGTGTGTATTCCTCAGTCCCAGCAGGGTGCGTAGATCACCTCATCATGGCACCTAAACCATTTCAACTTTGACATCGCTCCCCAAATTACGAACATGCTTTTACCCAGTGGGTGGTCGTGCTTTAAGGGCTGGGCAGAGATGGGGAGATGGAAACTGGGATGCTGAGAGGCTGACCCCAGTGAGTTCTCTCCTGCAGGCTCAGAAACGCATGGGGCTGCCCCAGCAGAGTACAGAGAGCCCCGGGAACCTTGCAAGCACGGTCCACAGACCTGGGCCTGAGAAGGAGGTTGCATCCTCAGGTAATGCTCTCACAGCCTTTCAGCAGGACACAGAAACCAGGCTGCTGTGGGTTAAGGACCTTTCTTCCTCTCTGCATAGAAAAACTGATGTCAGAGATCTTGTATGAGGCAGTTCACCTTTACCGCCTTATGAAGCAAAGAGCTGCATCCTTTTCTTAGCTAAGGAGGCCGGGAGCTGAACTTCTCCAGTGTCCCAAAATAGGAAACGTAAGAGGCAAGACCCGAGCAAGGACCTCTTAGATTTGAGAGTGTTCTCACCACTGAGCTCTGTCCCAGGGAGCTACCTTAGCCTGGCCTACATCTGTTAGGCCACAGTCGTCAGTGTGGCTGGATAACTGATGATGTGCCCCCTCCCATCCGACAGACGGGCTGCAATGGTAATACAGTGGATAAGGGGTTTGCGTTGCATGTGGCCAGCCTGGATTCAATGCCAGGCACCTCAGATGGTGCCCGAGCCCACCAGAAGTAAACCCTGGATGCAGAGCCAGGGAGTTAAGCTCTGAGCATTGCTAGGTGTGGCTCAAGAACATAAAGCAGACAGATGGCACCTTGGGCTAATGGGATGGCTCTGGGCATGGCACAGGGAGGCTGCCTACCAGCTGGTGCCACATGCCAGGCAGGAGTGCGCAGTCTCAAGCTCTCGTTCATCCTGGCCTGTGCCCTGAGGGACGCAGGAGTGAGTCAACGAAAACTTGGATCTGAAATTGCGCACTGCTATGTGAAAGTGATATGCATACTCACATCTGATCATAGGTAGTTTTTTATGTATATGAAATTGGGTTTAAGATGCTTTCCAGAGCTGACAGTTCCACAATCACTGCCCAACTGACCCCAGAAGGCTCAAAGTAGCCCCCTCCACCTGACCTGTCCCATATCACCAGGTGTTATCACCAGGTGTGGTCCAAAAGCAACAACAAAACCAAGACACTTTCCCACATAATCGTCCCCAGACCCTCTGAAATGGTGGTCCCTGCAGCCAGGGAGCTGCTACCCAGTGGCACCAACTGGGCCCTGTCGGAGGGAAGGCCTCTCCCACCCACCCCTGCTGACTCTGCTTGTCTGCTCCCACAGTGGCTACAGGCAGCTACCCTGGCATTATCCTGACAACATACTCAAGGCCCGAGTGCCACCTGGATCTGTCCAGGACTCCGGAAGCAGCCTGTGCCTTCTCAGTGCCCGCCAGCCAACCTTCGGTGAAGCAGCTGGCTCTCCGCCGGACACTGGCTCTGGGGGCAGCCTCAGCTCTGCTGACAGTGGGGCTTGTTATCAGATGCTTGACCAGCAGCCACTAGCAAAGCAGCGTGGACACAAACATGCCAAGGAGATCTCTGGACCATAGCTCAAAAGATGACCCTCAGCCAGTGCCTCCTGGGACACAAGGGGTCCGGAACTGCACAGACAACACTATCGTGGTTACAACGGCCTTCCAGGACTGCTCTTTGATCTTAAACAACAAAAAGAGCAAGGACTAGGGATCACAGTATTATTCAATAATGGCCACAACTTCCTACTAGCAATCTGAAAATCTCTTACATTAAACACTAAGATATTTCCTAAGCCCAACTGCTGCCCGAGTCTGTTCATAAAGTCTGTGAAGTTCTCCCCGCCTGCTCCCTGCCTTGTGCACGGGAACTGAGGTGAGTGACCACTGGCTGGGTCTGCTCCTCTCACCTCAGGAGCACTTTCACTTAGCCTCGGCATAACTTGTCCCTAGCACACCTGTTCTTACAGAGAGGAACGGGTATTGGTCACAGAGGCTCTGGACAGAATTCAGTATCGATCCAAAATCTAGGACACTTTTATTTGAAAACCCAACATGCTGTGCCTCTAGTATCACAAGTGAGGGGCCAGACCACCTTTCAGGTTCAGGAGGTAAAAACGTGCTCTCACACACACACAATACACCAAGGCCTACAGAAAAAAAAGATGAGTGCAAAGCTCTTTTCCTGTTTTCTTTTTCCTGCACCTCTCAAGTAGGGAACACTGGAGGCCCCTTCTGGTGATTCACCCGAGTTCACCCGAGTCAGAGCCTCACTGCAAGGGTCCAAAGATGCAGTGCTTTAGGTGCCGTGCAGTGCTGGTGATTAATTGGGCTTCGCACATGTGCTTCATTCCATGTACCATGTCCCCAGCCACTAGTTCCCTATTTCCAGAGTCCACAGCAACACCCCAGGCCCCCTGCTTATCAGGGAAGAACCTCTACCCTGGCTTATAATATGAAACACCTTTGCAGATACACAGAAAGAGAAACAGTTCCAGGCTTAAGTGAGTTTGGGAAACAACAAACACTACCATTTCAAAGGCTCAACTAGGATTATTTAATATGCTGGCGTGCTTTACAGATCCCTGGTTGCAGGTCGATGGTTATTTTTGTGTAAAGAGTTGTGAAATGAGTTTCCAGTGAGTATGCCAGCTGACATTTGTCTTATGGTACGAATTGAAAGATAGTTGGAAAACACGGATTGTACTGGGACTTAAAAACAAACAAAAACCCATGTGTGACAAAAACCAAGCTTGAGGGGCTGAAACAGTAGTACAGCAGGCCTTGCACATGGCTGACTCTGGTTCAATCCCCGGAACCCCAGATTACCCTGAGAAACAGAGTAATTTCTAAGTGAAGATCCAGAAGTAACCCCTGAGAATTACCAACTGTGTCCCAAAAAACAAAATAAAATAAAAATTTTAAAAAGCTTAAGAGAAATCTTGGCTGAGATTTCTTTTTAAATAAGCATAAGCTCATAGGAAGTTCAGAGCTGGTGAGGTGGCTCAGAGGTACAGCACTTGCCATGTGTGTCTTTGGTGCCCAGAACTTCAAAATAACAAAAAAATATAAAAAGGCTGACAAATACCATTTCTGATAAATGCAAAAATTAGATTTATAGTTAGACTAAAATTTGATTAGAAGTATCTCTAATAGGAAGTCTCAGGTTTCAAAAAAAATGCTAGTAAAATGCGTAACAACTGTTTATTTTGAGCAGAATATATTAATAAACAAGTACATAATTTACTTCATATAATGTACAATTTAATATACTACATGGAAAGTCCCACTTAAAATTGTCTAAAATATTTTGTAACTAGTTAACTGGATAAAATCACAGTTCAAATGATTAATTCTTGGCATCTCATACAGTGATAAAGACATACATAGAGGCAGCCTTAATACAACAAACTCATTCCATTTGAATGATCGTACGTTCTAAAAAGTGAATCCACTGTCTAAGTGGACTCAATCTGCTTGTATAGATCAGAGGTTAGGTGCCGGGGCAGTTCCGTTCAGTCAGAAGTCACACGGTCACTCACCAGCAGGAAGGCTGGACTCACGCGGTTTCATCGCTTCTCCTCTGAGCCAAAGCACCTCAGGTCTTGGCCACATTTAGGAGCACCTTGTCCAGTGTCCTCCAGCCCCTCCACATGGTCAGTCACTGTAGCTCACAATTCTCCAGCTTCTCCAACGATCCACTGTCAACCCTGTAAGGACCTCAGGCTCCAGAGTCTTGATTATCCAAGGGCTCTTTCTTGTCCATAAGAAATGGCTTACTTTCAAGTTCTATAGGCTGAATTTATTCAGAAAGGGATTTCGCTGAAGTTTAAAAACGTGAAATTTAGTTGCACTGTGCTACAGAAATAAACAAAAGATTTAGCTTTAAAGATCTATAAACGTACAACTTTAGGGTCCTGAGATAAGTGTTATTATACAAGTATCATAAAAAGTATTATTGAAAAATATTTTTAAATGCTAGCTAGATTTTATAAGATAAAAAAATTCTACAACTCCTACACCATTAAGAATAAAAATTAATCTTGTGTAAAACTGGTGACTACTTCAAGTAAGCCCTAGGATTTACAAGGTGCTGAGAGGTATTAGTCACAAAGGACCCAATGGACAGTCCCAGAGACTGTCACAAACCAAATACAGGTCAGAGAATGGAGGGAGAAGAAACATCACAGGTGAGATGGGCCAACTCCTGGAGGTCTAGTCCTCAAGTCCCAGTGGTCAGATAGAGCACCCCCCATCTCATCACTTCCCCTAAGCTTCAGGCAGAAGAGGAAGATCTCGCTTCCCCTGCTGGATGGAGAAGACGATTGGCCACTGTGGGGAGGCCTGGGCTCTTAAACGCTTCACAGAGAATAATGAGGACAGCAGAGGAGATGTGGGTGGGAGGAGTGGCGATGCCTGTGTTCCATGAACTAGAGAGACAAGCCACTGGGCAGCTAAGACTCCTTTAGCTAAGACCGCCCCATCCCCCACCCCAAAGAACTCTGATTTAGCTTAACAGAGTGCCTGCCCAATCCTAACCCAAAGCTTTAAGGTCTAGGAAACACAACCTGGGAGAGATTCTCCAGGTTTCCTTACTATACTGGGACTTTATTAAAGGGCAAGGTTTGAAAAATAAGCGATTGGCAATGACTCGTAGACTTAATGATAGTGCAACTTGCATATTTTCTAACAATTCTTGATAAGATTAAGAAGTGCTGCTTCATTAATAGAGGAATAATCTGGTAGAGGCAAGTAGGAAGTTGAAGAGGATCGTTCTTCAGTAATATCCAGCCTGGAGAGAGAAGACCCAGGTTACTCACAGCTGATTTAAAAACCCACCCACCCAGTCCTGGAATGACTCAGTGTTGGGACACTAGGATCTCCAACCTTCAAAGACGCTGACTGCGCTGCTCAAAGGCCTCTGCATCCCTCAGAAGCCTAACTGCAGTTGGGCTGAAGAGAAATGAGTAGGACCTCCCCACCCCCACCTCCCTGCCCTGCCAAATAAAAACCACTGTGTGGTAGGGAGCTTGTAGTCTGTCCAGTGTCAGTGAAACCATATCAGAGGAGAGTGAGAGGTTGAAACACTTTTCTACTGCCATAGCACTGTAAGGAAGTAGCTGGAATCTCCACATGAAATCTGAAAACTTATCACTACATTTCTAAAAATTCCAAGGTAGTGTTGAATTTATCCACGTCTACTGAAGTTTAAGAGGTGCCATTACCAGCTCAGAGTTCAATGTCATATTTAATTTTCAAGGGCTTAAATAATAAATGCCAATTAAAAATATTTCTATTTCTCAATGATTACAAATCTACAGTTCCACATTATTTTTTGTGTTTTGTATTAAGCTTTATAAGCATTTTGCTTTATGAACTTATGTATTTAATTTGTATTGGGGGGGCACACCTGGGGGTTCTCAGGATCTATTTCTGGGTCTGTGTTCACGGATCACTCCTGGCAGTGCTTGGGGATCCATATGTGATCTCAAGAGATCTAAATGGGGTTAACCATATCACTATGTACCATCTCATGTCTCTAGCCCCAATTTTTAATTTCTGTATGTGTTGTGGGACCCTTGGTGAGCAGTGCTGGGGACAACCTGGCCCTCCCAGCAGCATTCAAGGGTTCATGAAGCAGCAGGGATACATGAAGACTGTTCACATATGTGGCATTTGCTTTATCACTGGAGTTGGCTCCACAGCCCTATTATAGACATTTCATGTGTAAAGGAAATTCTTCCCTATTCTGATACACTCCCTGTAGACTGATAATCACTGATTTTAACTTCCCTTTTTAAAATGCCCAATATTTATTCTAATTCTAGCAAAACGAGAGTAAATAAGACTAAATCTAAGCTCATACCCATTAAATGCATAAACTCGATTTAGAAAACGTCTGTAATTAGAATAAAAGCTCATTAAGTAAGCAGAGATTCAAGAGCTATTTATTTCAAATAAAGTGATTTGATTTAAAAAGAGCAAAAGCTCCAAGAGAAGCAGAGAGAAGTGATAAGGAGGAAAACTAAGCCAAATCTCCATGAACCAAACACACCAGCTGATGACTATGAGCAGTGAAAAGTAGAACTGAAAGGGTCGGGAAACCCCATCACCACTCTTGTCCCCTTCACGAAGGGGGCACAGAGAAAATGGGCTCAGACAAGGCCTAGTGCAGACTCAAATTTAAGTCAGTCTCAGAACCAGGAAATCAAGGTTGAATTTCTTGTTCCCACTAAACGTTCTTATACACTGTAACTTCTCCAGACCCCAAAGAGAAAGTTCCAAACCCTTCTGGCAAGATGTGTCTTGGAGCCTTGAGACCAGCCTGGGCCTCCGAACCTTCCATGAAGCTACGAAATTCACCGCCACCCAGGTCCCTGCTTCTCAGGCTGGGGACCAAGTCTTGGGAAAAGAAGCAAAACAGGCAGATAATGATCCCATGCATGCCTCCAACCTCAGGAAGAGACCACTGCTAACAGAGCAAACCGCTAACCACATCTGAATGTGAGTCACTAAGTTTTCTAAAGTCAAACTGGGGGTCTGGGGATAGAGAGGTAGGGGTCTCCCAAACAGTGCTACCTGGGGGGGGGGGGGGGTGTGAGGCCTTTATTAGTGAAATGTGGGCTGCCCACGCAGGTCTGACAGTTCAGTGCTTGGGCGTGACAATACGACGACACTCAGGCCAGTGGTATGGAGGGCCACCTGGTGGTGTCAGGACTGAATTTGGGTCTAATCTACCCAGAACATGCGCTCCAACCCTTTGATCTATATTCTTGTCAAACTTCTTAAAAATCCTAAAGATGAATACTCAAGAGATTGAGAATAGACTGTTATTCTCAAGGGCTTTGGGAGATTATTCTCATTTATGTCTAAATGGTGCATATAGGTCTGATCAGTCAGCCAGCACCTTCTCCAGGATAGCCGAGCATGGGCAGAGGACAGAGTGCACAGTTGCTCTCCTTCTGCTGGGAAAGACAATGCTTAAACAAGACCAGCTCTACACACTCCTCAGAGTCAAGGAATCCACCTTCCCCCTTCAAAAAAATATATGGGTTAGCTGGGTTTCAACATGTTAAATAAAGATCTGGAAACAAATTCAAATTCTAGTTTTGGATAACTCCCAGTCTTCAACTGTAGAAACACAACTGAAATACATATTATATATCTCCCTCAGTTTGACTTACTTTACTTACAGAAAGAAAACAAGGAATTCCTACCTCGCTCTTAAAAGACAGAACTGGGTTCTGACATCTGCTGTTCATCTCAGTTTACTGGAAAACACAGTCTGTGAACTGCCAGAAAAATCAACAGGGCCTTTCTCTTCAGCACAGGTTGGTATTTCTGAGAAAACCCAAATGAGTTCAAATGCAACCGGTATCTCCAATTCCACCAAAGCTCTGACAATGTAAGGCAAGTCAATCCCCTTGAAACTTAAAATACAGATACAGACACCTCCTCCATACAATGCCTCTCTGCCAAGCCTATTCACAGTGTCTATTTTTTTTAGTGCAGCTTCTCAGTGAGTTGGGTGATGGCTCCAAAAGCTCAATCATTCTCCCACCCCCACCCCACCCCAAGTCATTCCATTTAACTGTTATGATTTTAGACTTTCGCCTTTACCCCAAGGATATGCTTCAGCTGCGTGAAGGCAGTTGTCGGGAGGGCCTCTTAAAAACACCAATCATCAAAGACAAACTTTATATGGCAGCCAACTACAGAGGAAAACCAGTCAAGCTTTCCTCACCAAAGCTGCTTCCCACCATCGTCCACCAGAATCTCTCCTCCATATCCAAGACATGCCGATTTCATGCACATTCAAGAGCAAAACTGAAACTCAAACACGAGTAGCTGAAGGGTCAGCAGGTTAGACAGTTCAGAATTCTGCAAGTAAGTTCTGTAAATTTAGGAATATAGATCAGAGCTTGGCAAGACTTTCTGTAGCAATTTCGGCTGTGTGGGCCACACACTCATGGAACACTCAACTCTGCTACTGCAGCAAACAGGGCAGCTGGGAGCATAAAGGAAGTGAGCATGGCTGCGCCCCCAGCAGCTTGATCTGCACAAACAGGTGCCCGCCAGCAGGCCACAGCTGTCCATGCTGCCCATCCTTGTCCTAGACTCTGGAAGTTAGTATGACAGTTTTCTTAGAAAATCAGGAGTGTCCAAGAGGAGAAAGAACAGCACCAGACAGGTCTAAAGGCAGGTGCCACTGAGTCATGGGACTTACCTTGATGAGCACAGCCACCACAATGCCCAGGAAGGCGAGGAACAGAAGACCAAGTTTTCCTTTGTTGAACCGTTTCAGGATAAAAAATTTGGCCCAATCCACCTTTGACTGGCTATTGGGAGGGTATCTAAGTTTGTTAGCACTTTCTCCCTTTAAGCTTTTCAATAAACAGGGACGTAGGTGAGAAAAGGTGTCAAAACTGTGTTTTCCGTGATAAGCTCCCATTCCACTTGACCCTGAAATAAAGTGAACAGATAAAATAATCTTCACCATGATACCAGCTACTTTGCTGTCTAAGCACTGCACAAGGAAACACACGGCTCTCCAGGTAGTGAGCACTGTGTTCTCAGGGACGAGAAGAAATGCTAAACAAACCCTTCTGCAATCGCTATCTTCCACTGAGTCATTTTATCCCACCTTCTCTCCCTTCCCATGTATCTGTAGTTCATGATTATTTCACACCTTCAATGTCTTCCCTCTCCCCACCACTGTTCCCTGAATCTTTGATCTGTTATTACAATCCATTGTCTTGTCTTTTTTTTTTTTTAATCTGTATCAGTTTTACATCCTGGCACACATAGATGATGTCATTCAATACTTGTCTCTTTCCTTGAGAATTACCTCCCTTCATACAGTTTCAAGCACCTTCCATTTAGCTGTGGAAAGTGACATTTCTTTTTGTTGTTGTTTATGGACCATATCAGTAGTGCTCAGGAATTACTCCTGGATCTGTGCTCAAGGGCCTATATGCAATGCCAGGGATGGAACCAGAGGCTGGCCTTGTGCACGGTATACACACTCCTCTACTATCTCTCTGGTGCCTATTTAATCTTTTTTTTTAATAGTGGAACGGCATCCCATTGTATGAATGTACCACATCTTTTGTATCTAATGCTTCCATATTTAAGCTATTATAAATCGCTGCAATAAACATTGGGGTGAACATAACTTTTTGGCTGTGGTTATTACCAGGGTTAAATCTAAGACTTTATGTAAGCCAAGTTTGTGTGCTACTACTGAACTACATCCTTGGCCTTAACTTTTGTGTTAATGTTTTCATATACATTGAACAGATCAAGTGGCATGGTTAAGTGTTCCAATAAGGTGAACCCCCATGTCAGCCAGATGCTATCAGAGAGCAGGGCAAGGATGCACAGCTCCCAATGGCAGGGCTCAATGTGTAGATGCCTCCTCTGAATTCGCACCATTACCCATCTGTCTGAAATATCACCACCTGCAGTCCTGGGAGGTGCGAGGGGAGGAATAGGAGATTATCAGGGTCAGGTAAATCTGCCCACGGACAAAAACATGAAGTCGGACGTGGCCTTTCCCCATATTCCCTGTGGTTTTATTTATCCACAGTCCACTCACCCACTTGCTCTAAGAAAAATGGGGAGGTCCTGCAGAGGGGAGACGACACCGTGCACTAATCTCTGCTGTCTCAAACAGCATGTCTGACAGCTTTCATCACTCTCATCTATTACATACATGGGGCACACACATGTCTGGCAAGAAGATACAAGCAACTTGGGGGCCCGGTTTCAAGTGCATTAGATAACTTCACTGAGGTTGAAGTTACAAGACCATCTGACAGTGTGTCAAGAGCTATGACTTTGTAAAGAAAAATCTAAATTTTATTCCAGATTACTACATTTCTGACAACTTTCTATACTGTTTTGTGCCTTCTCTACACATTCTCATCTCTTCTCTCAAAGACTTTTGAGGGAAGAGATTATATTTAGAAGTAGAGGAAAAGCATTTCATTTTGGGGGAAAATATGTCTATGCCTTTTAACACAGCAATAATACTCTTAGACATTTTTTCTTAGGAATTTATCAGAAAATGCATGAAAGTATTCAAAAATAATTACACCCAAAAAACTGAAATTGCAATAACCCGATCCCAGGGACTGGTTAAGTGAATGTTACATTCACATGTGGTGGTATGCGGCTTCTAAAATCTTAACTTTCAAGTATCCTGACAAAGAAAATGTCACTATATTTTCACATACCCGATAGAAAGTGATGAACAACAGAGTACCATTTTTTTGTCTGTTTGTTCTGTTTTGGGGTCATACCGAGTCTTACTCTAGCTCTGCACTCAGGAATCACTTCTGGCATATTTGGGGATCAAATGGGGTTATAGGGGTCAAACCCAGGCTGGCAGTGCAAAAGCCCTACCCACTGCACCACTGCTCCAGCTCCAGAGTACCATTTTTTATAAACTTCATGCTTTTACATATGTGTGTACCTATTACAGCAGAAAACAGAATTTTAGGAACATAATTGAGATTATCTTTAGCTATCAGGGTTATGTTATGTGTTATCTATATTTTTATTTTTTATTCTTTGGAATTTTCTATTTTTTCTAAGTTTTTGTTGTTTTCTTTTGTTTTGAGGTTATGCTTGGCTATATTCAGGGATCATCCTAGAAGGGCTCAGGGGGTCATATGGGAGGCCTGGGGTCGAACTTGGATCAGTCGCATGCAAGGCGAGCACCTTATCCACTTTAGTATCTATCTGGCCCATCTTTTCTAATTTTTCTTAAAAGTTTTCTCTTTATGCATGCTGAAAGTAGACTACAGACCGAACATGATTGCCACCCAATGCCTCTTCTGCAAACCACAGCACCCAAAAGGAGAGAGAGAACAAAAGGGAGTGCCCTGCCACAGAGGCAGGGTGAGATGGGGATGGGGGAGTAGGAGGGATACTGGGATTGGTCGGGGTGGAGAATGGGCACTGGTGGTGGGATGGGTACTCGATCATTGTATAACTGAAACCCACGCACAACAACTTGTAAGTCTACAACTGTACCTCACGGTGTTTCACTAAAAAAAAAAAAAAAAGTCTTCTTTTCAAGCCAAGAAAAAACTATGGGTTGAATGCATGCATGCAGGAGGCTGGATTCAGTCACCAGCACCTCATAGTTCAGGCATGGCTGGGAGAGACCCCAGCATACCAAGCTGGAGCAGCCCGAGTGCTGCCACATTTGTCCCCAAAACCAAATACACAAAAGCTTGCATAACTGTGGCTCTGAACGACAGAGAGGTTTTATCTTGGTTTAGAGAAGGTCAACAATGCTAAATGTTACCTAGCCCAGTAAGGGATGAGTGAAGCCATGGATGGTTCAACAGAAGCCTCTGTATGCAGTGGGGTGAAAGGACCCCTGGCTGCAGAGAAACTATAAACACTCTTCAAAGGAGCGAAAGCAAATCCTTTAAAGAATCTGGTCACTAAGACAACAGTAACTCAGGTGCAAATCCCACCAACCACTCTTTTGGGATTCTACTCCCCTCCTCCCCTCCAAATACATTCAATCCATCAACAAATCCTGCTGTCTGACCCCCCAAAATATCCATGCCCACTTGGCCCAAGTCACTATCTCATCTGGATCCTGTAACACTATCCCCTGTCCAGCCTCTTCCATCCTGCCCTCACTAAATGACAAACACGTTGGTGGGTGCTGGAAACATGTTTACATTCTAGAAAGGGACAGGTATGTAGCAATCAGAAGAAGCAGGGCAGAGTGCCAAGGGGAAGTCTGCTTGAATGAGGAACACCTGGTCCTCTCACAGGAGTCACTTCTCACCCAAGCTACCATTATGGGAGAGAACAGAGCAGGAGCTCAGAAAACAATGGTTCGTATTCTTTGATTTCCTTTCTGATAATTTTTACAGGCTTGCTGTTCTGCATTATTTCTAAGAGATAAAAAGGAAGCCTATTATCTAAGTTCCAAAGGAAAAACAGAAAGCCGAGTCAATGGTCTCAGGTGTCGATGGTCAGGCCTGGACAACCTGGCTTCAGAGAGTCACTAGAATGACTTTCTGGTCATCCTCTCTAAAACATGGAAAAATCTAATTCCCCAACAACGAAACAATTAAAAGAGAAGTGGCCTCCCCCACAGAGGGCTGAGGAGCAGTGAAGGAACTGAGTGCTACTTCATGTTATCAGCACTGGGACATTCCCACATTCCGAATCTGTGACTCACTTGGGGGAATTGGGAGGGTGGGGATGGGAGGAGGGACCTAATTGTAGGCCAAAACAGTTTCATAAAATCTGGCAAAAGGACAACAAAAAAGTCTGTCTGTCTGTCTGTCCTCCCGTTGTTCATCAATTTGCTCGAGCAGGCCCAGTAACGTCTCCATTGCAGACTTCGTTGTTACTGTGTTTGGCATATCGAATACATCACGGGGAGCTTGCCAGGCTCTGCCGTGCAGGTGAGATACTCTCGGTAGCTTGCTGGGCTCTCCAAGAGGGGCGGAGGAATCGAACCCGGGTCGGCCATGTTGGCTGCGTGCAAGGCAAATGCCCTACCTCTGTGCTAAACAGAAAAGTAAACCAATGAAAAGAAAAGGCTCCTGACCGTGCTAAGTGCTGTGAGAACAGAGACTATCCCCTAATTAAGGGCTAGGGGTCAGGGTCAGCAGGTGGGAGACTGCCACCTGGCTGTCGGGGTATCCTCTCACACGGCCACCAGCAGACTGCAGAGGCGACAATCTCGATCCCCTGGACCAAGGACTGAAACAGTGGTTGAAACTATAATGAACAGGAGAGAGGACTCACCAACTCCTCCGAAGGGTAAAGAATTGAGTGTGAAGTGCATGATGACATCGTTGGCTGTGACCCCGCCACTGGAGGTTTCATCAATCATCCTCTTGATGAGCTGAGGAACAGAACAAGACTAAGGTGAGTGGTGCAAGGTGAAAGCCGTGTGTTCCAGGAATATGCTTCGAGGGAGAAGGAGGCTTTGCGCCCAACCACTGGGAACTGGGCTGCACAAAATGGCAGCAAAGGAGGTCTTTCTGAAAAAAGGGACAATTCGGGGGTGTGGTGACACCAAGGGGTCAACCTGTACCTGTGAGGCAAGTGCATCAGCAGCCTGATGGAGCCTTCAGGCTTCCTGATACCCCAAAATTGCCACTGTGCCTTTAGCCAGACTCCAACAACTTTGGACCAAGTTTACCAAGAAATTAAACGGCCAAAAGTTAAGTATGTGGGATCCTTGCCCACAAACCACCTCTGGCTCAGCTATACAAGCTCATTTATTGGCCTTTTTATTTCAGAGACCCAAAGATAAATCTCTAAAAAAAGGCACAGATAATCTTAGACCCGTGCATGGCTGAACAGATTGGGATAAATTGGAGGGGGGCAGGTTGGCTTGTGCCTGCCCAGAGCCCCCAGCAACCACTTGCTTCCACAATTCAAAATCACAACCACAGCCCCAGTCTGAGTGCACAATTTCAGGCCAGACCTCACCAAGATATAATCTGCTGAAAATTCGGGTATGCAGGTTTTGTGACTGAAATCCCCAGGCTTTCCAGGACTTGGGATGGGCTACCTCCCCCCACTTCCCAATACACATGGAAGCACTGGCAGTCACCCCCATGAACCAACTCAAGCGCCACTCTATTACTGTAAACTCTATTACTGGCCTTGCTTCAGAGACCCACAAATAAATCTCGAAAGAGATCAAAAGCCAGAGACACAGCAGCGAGTCCCAGAAGATACCAGAGTGGTGACTTTTAAAAAAAGGAATGTGGAGTTCATGCACAATTCAATCGGTATGAGGCCAGAGATCTCTCCCCATACCGAGTCACTTTCACCGGGCACCCCAGATGGAGCAGGTGCAGTCTCCCCGCCTACTCCAGATGGAATCCCAGCGACCAAGAGCTTCCACAAGCAAGGCCCAAGGATGTGGGTTCCAGGACTTAATCTCCATGCTACATGGCAGCAGAGGCACCAGGCTGTCCTTCCCTGGCTCCATCAGTCTGACTGTCACACTCACAATGTGCTTCTGAGCACCATTTTAGCGCACCAACAGTCCTACTCCAGAGACGCCCAACTGAATCCCATAATGGATTAATACCCTACAGAAATGTCTCTGGAACCCAACCATCTACAACCTAGGATTCCAGAAGCATGTGGCTGCAGCACCCATGAAATTCAAAATGAGCAAGGGATAATAAATGATCTAGCATCTGACCCTGGCAGGCAGGCATGAATGGTGGTGGGAAAATTCAAGCAAAACATAATGACCAAAAGTAGAGAGTACTCAGGAAATTGTCATGGAAGCAGGGTGAGGACTGGGATGGGGCGAGGGGGTAAAGTGGGAGGATATATTGGGGACCCTGGTGGTCGAAAGTGTGCACTGGTGGAGGGATAGGTGATCGATCATTGTACAGCTGAATGTCGAACATGAATGCTTTATAACTATCTCATGGTGATTCAATAAAAAAAAAGTAATGTGGAGTTCATGTCCAATTCAATCAGCTTAATCAATGGCTGAATAAATAGCAGTACTCCTACATTTAAAAAAAAGATAGACAATTTGGGGACAGAATGATAGTATAGCAGGCAGGGCATTTGCCTTGCATGTAGCCAACCTGAGTTCGACCCCTGGCATCCTATATGGTCCCTGGAGCACTGCCAAAAGTGATTCCTGAGTGTTGCTGGGTGTGGCTCAAAAATCCAAAATAGAAAGAGGCGGCAATTTATGCCATGATCTGATTTTTTTCATTGCTTATTTATTTATTTTTGTTTGTTTATGGGCCATACCTAGCAACGGTCAAAAAAGCAAATCCTAGTTCTGCACTTAGGAATTACACCTGATGGTGCTCAAGGGACCATCTGGGATGCTAGGAATTGAACCCAGGTTGGCCACAAGCAAGGCAAGTGCCCTACCCTACCCATTCTGCAAATACTATTTAAGATTCAGACTTAGTTTCCTATATTTGAAAAAAAATAAATGGCTGATTCAAGAAACATATAGGCAAAATGATGACAGACTGTTAACTGTCATGTCATGGGGCTGACACCAAACCCTTCAGAAGTCCTTTGTAAAGTGTCACAGCATAATGTAGTTGCAGCAGGTCATCCAAACACCAGGAAGTACTTCCACCACCCTGACGCTGGTGATGACATACCAAGCTTCAGGATTCCTGTCCCAACCCTCTTCCTAAAGCTATCTGAAATACAGACCACTGACGACTATTTGTTAACAATTCATTCTTGGGTCAGACTATGGCTCAAAGCATGTGCAAGATCCAAAACACCGTATTGTGCACAGCTCCCTAAGCACTCCCAGGAATAGCCCGCCACAACAAAAAAGCAAAGACCCTTTACTGAACCCCACACATTTGTTCTCATGTATCTGTAGAAATACGAATCTCAATGGTCTCACAAACGTGGGACCATGAACTTTCCGAATGGTGGTTCTCCAGAAAGTGACAGATTTGTGTACTCCACAGATCCTAAAGAGAACTATCTCCTGCTTTCAGCTGACCCTTTTCCTTCCAAGGGCTCCCAGCAACTCTGCCCATCTCAGTCACTGTCCCGATTGCCAGTGACCTCATGAAAATCAGTGCACCATGCTGGAGACTGCAGCAGCTCGTCCTGTTATGGTTGTGGTGTGACATGCTAACTCAGCTGACATACTTCACCAAACAATAAGAAGAACAGCATAAGAGAAAGTACTCTCAGGACAGCATCAAAGAGCCCCACTGCACAGGCCCCGGGAAGAGGCTGTGAACCCCCATGCAGGAAGACAGGAACGCTTGGAACCAAGACTGCCATACTCCAGAGCCTCAGGAGGAAAGCTGCTAAGGCAAACACACCCAGTTCTCCCATTATACCCAAGATGTTTGGGAACTAAGAAGCCTGTGACACCTACCTCTGAAGATTCAGATTAACCCCCGGGGTTTGGCAGAGGTTACAGCGATAACCCCCAGAGCCTTATTAATAGAGACAGCAATCTTTGGAGTACAGTATCATTTTGTGGACTCTGACATTATACAAAATAAACCATTATTGGCTCTGTGGTAAGAAGGGAATGACATGATGATGACTTAAGATAATGAGCTATTTTCCACCAGACTCACCTTATTGTTACGAGAAAATACGTATAATGCCAGGGGCTTTTCACGGTCATTTATAAAGTTTATGGCTTCATCTACATTCTTGATAGGCACTATTGGAAGAATTGGCCCAAAAATTTCTTCTTGCATCACCTTGGTTTTAGGATTAACATCAGTAAGTACTATTGGGGCTGAAAAAAGAAATAAGCAAAATGAAAACATTAAAGTAGAAGACAGAAATGCAAAATCCCAAACCAGGCATTGAGCTATATGACCCAGGAATTCCACTCCTGGGACTATACTCCAAGGGCCCAAAAGCACAAATCAGAAAGGACACTTGCACTCCTATGTTGATTGCAGCACTATATACAGTCAAAATATGAAAACAACCCAAATGTCCATAAACAGATGACTGGATAAAGAAATTATCATACATATACACAAGAGAATACTACGCAGCCTAAAGAAAAGATAAAGTCATGCAATTTTCTATAGTGTGGATGGATCATGTTACGTGAAATCAGCCAGAGGAAGAGGAACAGACTCAGACTGATCTCTTTCATATGTGGGACAGAAAGAAACCTCGTTGGGAAATATCAAATGCCCAATGGCACAGAAGGAAGAGCAAGAGAACTGGTCTTCAGTAAGTAGGCTGGACTGGGACAGGGATGAAGGTGATAAGTTAGGGAAAGAAATGCTAGGAGAGTGTGGGGAGGGGAAGAGTATCTGCCAGAGTCAAATCGGGGGGTGGGAAGGAATCGGGACATTGTGGAGGGTATGGGCACTGAAGAAAATTGGTGTTAGAATAATATATGCCTGAAACTCAATCATAAATATCTTTGTTTTTTTTATTAGTGAAACACCATGAGGTACAGTTATAGACTTATAAATTTTTGTGCTTGGGTATCAGTTATACAATGATCAAGCACCCATCCCTCCACCAGTGCCCATCCTCCACCACCACAGGTCCCAGCATCCCTCCCACCCCCCATCCCCCCGTCCCACCCTGCCTCTGTGGCAGGGCATTCCCCCTTGTTCTCTCTCTTCTTTTGGGTACTGTGTTTTGCAAGAGAGGCATTGATTGGAAATCGTGTTTGGTCTATAGACTACTTTCAGAAATCATAAATATCTTTGTAACTTTGTAATTCATAGTGATTTTAATACAAAAGAAAAAATAAAAACCGTAAATCCAAGTATTATTATTATTATTATTTTGCTTTTTGGGGTCACAGCCGGCGATGCACAGGGGTTACTCCTGGCTCTGGACTCAGGAATTACACCTGGCAGTGCTCAGGGGACCATACGGTATGCTGGGAATTGAACCCGGGTCGGCTGCGTGCAAGGCAAACGCCCTTCCCACTGTGCTATCACTCCAGCCCCCAAGTATTATTTTTTTAAAAAGTCCTAGATGATTTGGACATATTAAATCTCCAAGAAATGTGAACTCAGGAACTTTGTGTAAATCAAAGAAAAGATAAAAACTTGGCTATAATCTAGTCATAGTTAACTGTGTTCATGGTTTATTCATACATGCACATGCTATCTTTTTTTTTTTCTGTTTTTTTTTGGGTCAAACCCAGGAATGCACAGGGGTTACTCCTGGCTCTGCACTCATGAATTATTACTGACGGTGCTCAGGGAACCATATGGAATGATGGGAATCGAACCCAGGTCAACTGTGTGCAAGGCAAATGCCCTACCCACTGTGCTATCGCTCCAGCCCCCAGGCTATCTTTCTATAGACAGATGGTTTCTTACCACAAGTTCTTAACTAAAAATTTTTCTTCACATCGGAGAGCCCGGCAAGCTACCGAGAGTATTCGATATGCCAGACACAGTAACAACAAAGTCTCCAATGGAGACGTTACTGGGCCCGCTCGAGCAAATCGACGATCAACGGGAGGGCCTTTACCTTTATATTACTTTTTTAACTTTATTACAATTTCATTAAGAAACACGTCGGGGGGGTATGGTGCCGCCAGCAGGTCAATCTGTACCTGTGCGGTGAGTGATCAGCAGCCTCATGGCGCCTTCGGATTTCCAGATACCCCAAAAGTGCTGCTGTGCCTTTGGCCAGATCCCAAAAACTTGGGGCAAAGTTTACGAAGAAAGTAAATGGCCAAAAGTTAGGTATGTGGGAAACACACCCACAAACCACTTCCGGCTCAGCTATATAATTGGAGGCAAGGCCTCTTTGGTTCCTGATTGAACTGCTTAATGGCCATGATCTCAGAGACTCAGAAACGAATCTCGAAACCCAGCGGCTTTAGATAGAAACGTATCCGGTCCCTGCAGTAGGCTACCGGTGCTGGGACAACCCAGGTGGGAATAGGTTTCGTGCCATGGCCTGTTCCCCCTGGTGACCCAGTGGCCACCATCCTTCAGAGGCCACTGGATAGTCACATTTGGGCCCCCAATGACGAGACACACAGGGCCTTATGGGATGGGGGTGGAGCCGGGCTTGTCCTCCCCACCCAAACTAGACCCCAAGTCATCGCCCACGAATGGCCTTCTGGCTCCTATCAAGCTGCTTAACAGCCATGATACCTGAGACTCAGAAACAAATTTCAAAACCCAGTGGCTTTTGGCAGAAATGCGTCTGGACCCCACAGTATGTTACTGTCGCCTGGCCGCCCCAGGGAGGAAAGGGTGTTGTCCCTCCGCCTGCTCCCTCTTGGTGGCTTGGTGGCCATCATCCTCCAGAGGCTACTGGACAGTCAGGCTTGGGCCCGCAGTGACGAAACTTGTTGGGCCTCACGGGATGGGGTGGAGCCAGGCCTGTCCTCCCCACCCCAACGAGACCACAAGTCATCGCCCACGAACGGCCTCTCTGGCTCCTCATCAAGTTGCTCAACGGCCATGATCCCAGAGACTCAGGAGCAGATCTTGAAACACAGTGGCTTTTGGCCGAAATTCCTCCAGATTTAAGTGTTAAAATTTTGGAATTTCAAAATCCCGTGGCCACTACTGCAGCCACGTGACATCATACGTTATTTATAACCAGCAATAGGAAACAAATTGTCTACTGTTGCCTTTTCAGCAGATCTGAGTGTTGGTAAAATCACAAATAATAATGGCGGGTCTAGTGTCAAAATATTGAATATAATCAAAGTAGAAAGAGAGTAATGTGGAAATTATCTGCCCCACAGGTAGGGGGAGGGTGTGGGATGGGGGTATACTGGGGTTTTTGGTGGTGGAGAACGGGTGTTTCATTGTATGACCGAGACTTAGACCCAAAAGCTTTGTAACTGCTCTCACAGTGATTCAATAAATAAAATTATAAAAAATGGAAAAAAAAAAAAAAAGAAACATGTCAGGGCTAGAGCAATAGCACAGCGGGTAGGGCGTTTGCCTTGCATTCGGCCAACCCTGTTTCGAATTCCCAGCATCCTTTATGGTCCCCTGAGCACCGCCAGGGGTAATTCCTGAGTGCAGAGCCAGGAGTAACCCCTGTGCATTGCCGGGTGTGACCCAAAAGGGGGAAAAAAAAAAAAAGAAACATGCCTACTGGAGTTCATGCCCGATTAATCGGCCTAGTCAATAGCTGAATAAATAGCAATACTCCTACATTAAAATTGAAAAAAAAAAAAGAAACATACCTAAATGATCAAGATTCCCTTAACCTGGTAAGACAGAGTGTCCTGCCCCTCTGGGAAAGGGGTCAAGAAGGGAGGGACAGGCTGATGCAGGAACTCTGCAGTATCCCAAAGTCCAAGTCTCCAGTTAGTGGCACTCCAAACAAGTAACCCTACACGCAAGCTCCCTCGTGAGCTAAAAGAAGACATCTGACAAGAAGCAGTTTGCACTTCTTCACACCTAGTTTTCTTTAGCATTATCTCCATAGAGTGATTGAGGATGATTCTTCCCAATGAAATCCAGGGGTATGTAAGCTATCCAACAACCACCTGCCCACCACTCTCCTAGATTAGAGAAATGATGTGATTTCTGTGTCTACCCCTTCCGTGGATAAGGTGACTTTGCCCTAAAGTCAGGAAAAGGTCCCCCAACTAGTTCGGGTAATCATGACAACTTTCATTTTGTCATTCATGAGTCCAGAAGTGGCGAAGTCAAATGCCAAGGATGGGAGTCGACACAAATGAAAGCACGAGGAGTGAAGGGAGAGTTGAGCCATGGAATTCACTGGCATTAAAAATGCCAAGGAAAACTAGGTGTAAAGAAGTGCAAACTGGTTCTTGTCAGATGTCCTCTTTTAGCTCACGATGAGCTTGCATATAGGGTGACTTGTTTGGAGTGCCACTAACTGGTGACTTGGACTCTGGGATACTGCAGAGCATCTTTGTGATAAAGAATGCTTTAGTCTTTTTTTTTTTTTTAAATTAGTGAGACACCATGAGGTATAGTTGTAGACTTAGAAATTTTGTGCTTGGGTTTCCGTTGTACAATGATCAAATACCCATCCCTTCACCAGTGCCCACTTCCTACCACCACGGATTCCAGTATCCCTCCTACCCTCCAACCCCCCCTCCCATTCCATCCTGCCTCTGTGGCAGGGCATTCCCCTCTGTTCTCTCTCTCTCTCCTTTTGGGTGTTATGGTTTGCAAAAGAGGCATTGAGTGGCAATCATGTTTGGTCCATAGTCTACTTTCAGCATAAAGTAACAAAATAAGAGACTAACACCCAAGAGTGGCCGAGATCAGTACCAGGAATTTAGTCTTTTTTTAAGCTGTTTTGTGTTTTATTGTCTGGAGGCCTTTCCGGTGGTGGTGGGGGATGAAGACCAGAGCTACAAGCGTGTAGCAGTCATGGAGTGCTAGGGATCCAGCCCAGAGCCCAGCGCATGTCTGGCATGTTCCAGCCCTTTGAATTATATCCCCAGTTAAAAACTGTTATCTGATAAGAGGACTTGGTTAAAGCTATTGAGGCAGCTGTTTTGCCAAGTAAATGCATTAATACTTCTATGTTATTTCAGAAAAAATGTGTTTAAAATTCAAAAGCAATACATAAAAATACAAAAATGAAAGTCAAACACAAAAAGAAAGCAAATAAATACGATCACACACAATAGAGCAAACTAGCCTTTCCATGACGGTATCACCAAATAATAAGACAACTCTATGCTACCACACAGGGTTGTAAGGAAGAAAAAAATATATGAAGATGAAGTACATATATAAATACGGTTGGAGCAATATAGTACAATGGGTAGGGCGCTTCTCTTGCCTGTAGCTGACCCTGGTTCAATCCCCAGCATCCCGTATAGTCCCATGATCCTGCCAGGAATGACCCCTAAAAGCAGAGTCAGGAGTAAGCCCTGAGCACCGCCAGCTGTACCGCCAGCTGTGCCCCCACACACATACAAAAAAAAAAATCTGAAATCAAAATATATGAGAAATCAAAAATCTAGTGCAAGAGAGCATTATTAAATGTATGCACACATGTATTATCTAGTTTCTAACTAAAGTAGTATATCAGACAATACTTAACAATTTCCTAAATTACAGATACTATGAATCAAGACTGTTAATAAAATTTGCCCAACTGCCATCATCCCCTAAGAAAAGAGGAATTTCCATTACCTATGTAGCGTGTGGCTTCATCCATCTCCCCACCAAAAGCTATCTTTTGTCCTTCAAGCAAACTCTGTATCCTCTTAAAATGACGAAGATTGATGATTCTTTCATAATCAGGAGATTCTTTAATATTTTCTCCATAAAATTCCTATTTCAAATAACATTATTTGTCACAAAAGATCATTTTCAGTTTCTTCAATAAGCATAAAATCTGTTCACATTCAAACAATCTGGTTTCTATCCTCGCAAAATCCCAAACCTCATATGCTTTCAAAGCAGCGGCCGTCAATAAGTAAACTGAAAGACTTAGGCAGATCAAGGACAAGAATCTATCTGCACACAATTCTATCTTGCTTCAGCTTCAGGGGTTTCTCCGTGGTGAGCATGGACTTGTGCTATTGCTCTGCACCAAGCCTGTGGACTGCCGGTGACTACCTTCCTTCCCCATCTTCTCCTGCAGTAAGCTAGGGAGCTGCAGCACACACCCCACTGCCTGCAGAGTCTAAAATATTGACTTCTTGGGGGTCAGAACAGTAACACAGCAGGTACGGTGCCTGCCATGCATGTGGACAGGGTTCCGATCCCCAGCACCACATATGATCCCTGAGCACAGAACCAGGGGCAAGCCCTGAGCACAGCTGGCTGTGTCCCAAAAAACAAATAAAAGAAATGCTGACTACTTAGCTCTTTCATTGCCTTTTATTCTCTCTGGGCCAATTCTTCTTGCTACTAGTCATAGATGATAGCAAAACTACTCAAAAAGATCAAAAGACAGTTTGGTGAGTTAATCAAGGTGGAAGAATATTTAAAAAAAAAAACAACCCTGCAATCAATATGTAATACGTAAAACAAAACACAAAATGAATTGCTACATCACTTCAAAATCTTTAAGAGCTCTCCAGTAACTCTACACTCAACAAACATACTCTCCAATAAATTTTAAGTCCATATGGAGAGTCACATGGTCACTTGTGTTCCTGGATTCCAATTTCGGTATCAAATTCGGTGATTTTCAACACTAGCTGTGCCTTGGAGTTGCACAGGGGACCCAGACCAACTGAATTTCTGTACTCTATAGATGAAAACTGGAATTTTTTTTTTAAATGACTCCTTAGGGAACTTTGTGTTTAAAGAATATAAACACACCAAATGAAGGCAGAGGAGCTCTTATTGCTTTAAACCATGCTCATTACTACAATTAGCCATGAATTGTCCAATTTCCAAATATTTCCCATTTCACAGGAATCTTAATCTCTTCTACCATCCACAATGGCAGAGTCTTGCTAATTCTCCTTCACATTCTCCTTGTCTAGTTCCACCTTCAGTCTCACTGTTAACATATAATTTCCATCAAAAGACCCTCAGTACCGGATGCCCAGAGGTACCCCATCTAGTCAACATCCTAAATTTCCTAAACTTTAATATTCTGATCATATATATTGTGCATTGTATTCTTCATACCACCTTTCTATATTAAATAGCACCCACCTGTTGAGTGTTTCAGTTAACTTGTTCCATTCAGGAGGCTTAATGATTCTATCAGTGAACTCAGTCCCACTGGCTCACCGGCTCTTTTTCTAATCTAATCTCTACACTTATTCAAGATTTAGCTCAGAACACTATCATGCAGCCTCAATTTATTCCCTCACTAGTGCTCTTTAAACACCCTGACTCTTAATCATGTCAAGTGTATCTTAAACAGGTATTTAATTCACTCACTTCTCCAAACCACTTGCTGTAACTCCATACATACACAAAAACTAACCTAATCTAGCAATGGAAAATATAACAAAGGGCCTCTAATTTATACTTTGGGAAGGGGAAGGGAGTTGGTTCAAGACCACACTTGACAGTGCTCAGGGATTACTCTTGACTCTGCACTCAGAAATTACTACTGGTGGTGCTCAGGGGACCATATGGTATGCTGAGAATGGAGGGCTCTATTATTTCTTCATCCCTTCTAATTTAAACCTTAAAACGTGTCAACATTCACTCAAACCAAACACATGTAATCTTTTTTATAATGTATAAGCCATAACCAACTGTTCAATGACACATCAATCAACAAATCAATAAAATAAGCTTCTTTATCCAAGCATTTTAGAAAGTGTACAAATAATCTTCATGAGCCAATAAATTTAGTCACATCTGCAAATGGAATTTTCCTTGATAAGGGGACTGAGGGAAGATGCTGCCTATAAAAAAAAGTGACTCTGTACCATACTAAAATCAATGTAATCAGATATGTTTCTCACAGACCTTCACAGTCTCCTTAATCTTCTGCACGACTTGACTCTGGAGGGATGGTTCACAGAGAACGTAGTCAGGAGCAATGCAGGTTTGACCACAATTCATGTACTTCCCCCAGGCTATGCGTCTGTAGGTAAAAAACCCAGAATAACTATATAGTTTCATCTACTAATCATTTCTTACACATCTTTGTGTTGATTGAATGTTTTGCAGCTATAATGTATCAACAGATTTACTTGGTAATCTTTATTTAAAAAAAATTTTTTTTTAAATTCTCTAATCGGCTGGCTGGAACTCGGCATTTTTTAACTGAAAGAATATTCTAGGGAGCAGAAAAGTTCTCACAGAGGCTCATGGAAAACAGTATTTTACAAGCAGTGAAGTCATTGCCTGCCACAGGAACAGAAAAAGGTCCACACCCTTTCCTCCTCCAGGGAGAGAGAAGCAGGCTGTGTTGACAAGAGCACTCCAGCACCAGCTCCACCTCTCCCGGGCCTGGCTTTAATCTGTGTGGCCAAACTGCTCAAGCAGAAAAGAGCCAGTCTGCCCTCCTTTCTCTGGCAACCTCCCCCTCCCCAGGAACACCACTCCCGCAGGAGAATCAAAGCCCAAGAACTGTTCCCCCGATAAAGGCTCTCCCATTCCGACAGCTTCTGCTTATGCAGTGGACTGTCAGCTGCCAGGTACCCTGCACCTGCTCCATGCGCTCCACCTTCGAAGTCGAGAATCAGCCACAGCACACAGTGGCACTTCCTGGTAACTCAACCAAATGTTGCGAGAACCTGAAACCTTTTGTTCTTTAGTTCTCATGCTTTTCTCAGTTAAAAGACAAGAAATACTGGTTTTGTCAACAACCAAAAAATTAAGGTAAGAGATATTAACATAATACCCTTGACGTTGGAAAGATTTTATTAGGTGTATTATCTATTTCCTGAATCATCTGCCATTAGGCAGTAAGTTTTCTTGCCAAATTTATAATCTCCAGAACAAAAATTTTCCATAACATCTAAGAACCACATGATTGCAAGAACCACTGCTCATTTTTCAGTGGCAGCAAGAGATATAGTTATGTGATGCTTAAGACATTGCCTGTCAAAACTTAACAAGTCAGAAATAACAAAGTTCTACCTATCTATAAGGAAAAAGCCTCCACCATGCCAGAAAAATCATAAAAAGTCAGAAAGCCCAGAAAGCCAGTCTGACCTGCAGGCAACATCCAGGTCACAATCTTGGTCAATATAGCATGGACTCTTCCCTCCCAGTTCCAAAGTGACAGGAGTCAGATACTTGGCAGCAGCTTCCATGACAATTTTTCCAACTGCAGTGTTTCCAGTATAAAGAATGTGGTCAAACCGCTGTTTCAGAAGTTCTGTAGTTTCCGGCACACCACCGTTAATAACAACATACAGATCCTACAAGAGAGGAACCAAACATCAGCATCGCCAAGCTAAGTCTACTGCAAACATGAGCTGTATTGTCAACATAAGGATGCAATGTTTCCATCCCTCTGCGGAAGGAAGCAAGAGAACGGTCTCTGATATACTTCAGACAACCTACTGTGAAAATGACCTGAAGACTACCCAACATTTCCCACACAAGCTCAGCAATGAAGATACAAAACACATCAGAAAAAAAACACAAGAGAAATGCATGAAATTGGAGAATGGATTTTGAGGATTTTGGTGACAAAGTAGGTGCTGCCAATGACCTCAGGACAGGTCTAAGATGAATGTCTTAATTTGAATCATCTCTACACAAGACAGCAACGCACTCTGCCTATGATAAAAACCAAGTAAATGTCTCCTGAATGGATGATAAGTGAGGACTTGCTTTTGAAGTCAGTCAGCTCTGGACTAAAGTTGGGCTCTGCCACTCATTAGTTTACCAGTATGTATCCCTGAGCAATCTACTAAATGTTGCCAAGTCTCCGTTTCCTCACCTGTTGCTGCAGAATGTGTTGCTTTGGACTGAGCCCTTGTATGCACTGTTTTTATTAGCAGCTACTCCAAAGAAAGAAGATCTTGGATAACAACAGCACAAAAATCAGTGACAGGATAGATGGCAAGGAAACTTGAAGTAGAAGCTGACTTATACACTTACTATTTGACCCCCCCTGCTAATTAGGGGAGCTAATAATCGAGTCTCATTTGCTTCATACTAACTGCTCAATAAATGCTTCATTTTAAAACTTACATATGGCTTAATCTCCACAGCACAGGTGATTGGTGGGAATAATGAATGATCAAACACAAGAGAAACTGAGTACATGAGAATTGGTAGGAGACATACCACCTGAAGCGGGGAGGGTGTGTGTGTGGGGGGGGGGGGGTAAGACAGGATGGGGCCAGGTGACAACTACAGTAGAGGGAAGATCAAACGGAAGGACGATGTAGTGCTGAAAGGAAGTAAAATGTTATGTATGAACCCCTATTGGCAACAGTATGGTAAACCACAATGTAAAAGCATATAAGTTAAATTGCCCTGTGGCAAGAGCAACAGCACAGCGGGTAGGGCGGGCATTTTCCTTGCACGTGGGCAACCCGGGTTCGATTCCCAGCATCCCATATGGTCCCCTGAGCACCACCAGGAGTAATTCCTGAGTGCATGAGCCAGGAGTAACACCTGTGCATCTCTGGGAGTGACCCCAAAAAGCAAAAAAATAAATAAAATAAATTGCCCCTTGTAAAGACAGTCTGGTGGGTGGGAGGTTAGGAGGGTAGAGGAGGAAACTGGTTGGGGGAAATGGGCACTGATGAAAGGATTGGTGTTGAATAAATGTATACCTGAAACTTTGTAATTTCACAGCAAATTAAAAAAAAAACTATTCTGTGGGTTGTCATAATAGTGATAAAACAAAAAGGAAGACACAAGATCAGGCTCCTACATCACTGGTTTTCAACCTTTTTGTCTGTTTTTTTTGGGGGTCATGCCTGGCAATGCTCAGAGTTTACTCCTGGCTCTATGCTCGGGAATCACTACTAGCAGGACAAAGGGGACCATATGTGGAACTGTGGATCAAACCTGGGTCAGATACATGCAAAATAAGTACCCTACCTACTAAACTATCTCTCTGGATTATCAACCTTTTTATACCTACAGACCAGCAAAGATTTACAGATTGATGGTTTAACAGCATTGCTTAATTATAAATCAATGTGTACAACTCCAAATGTGATACTTTTAAAGTAAAGTAAAGTAAAGGCCCTCCCGTTGATCGTCGATTTGCTCGAGCGGGCCCAGTAACGTCTCCATTGGAGACTTTGTTGTTACTGTGTCTGGCATATCAAATACTCTCGGTAGCTTGCCGGGCTCTCCGAGAGGGGCAGAGGAATCGAACTCGGGTCGGCCATGTTGGCCGCTTGTAAGGCGAACGCCCTACCCGCTGTGCTATCACTCCAGCCCGTGATACTTTTAAAGTTACTTTTTATGAAACTCGAATTGAGGACCGTTCTCTGCAGCAACTCCAGTTCTAATTTCCTGGTGGCACCATGAAACTCCACCCCAATATGCCACCATGAAACTCCACCCCAATATGCACAAGAACCTCTAATTCCAGCAGGGACAAGCTACTTTATGTAGGAGGAAGTCTCTTTATTCAGCCTTTTTTTTTTCTTTTTTGGGTCACACCCGACAACGCACAGGGGTTACTCCTGTCTCTACACTCAGGAATTACTCCTGGCCATGCTCAGAGCACCATACGGGTTGCTGGGAATCAAACCTGGGTCGGCTGCATGCAAGGCAAACGCCCTACCCACTGTGCTATCGCTACAGCCCTCTTTATTTAGCTTTTGATATTCTGAAACGCCAGCATTTTAACTCCAATTTGAGGGGCAATACTCTGAGGCTATTTTCTTTCTATAGTTTTCATGCCACACATATGCCCATTTTCAAAGTAGAATCAGTCATCAGTACCAACTGTGCATTTACTAAAAGGGCAGCAGCGCTCTATCTCTCTGGCACTCTATCTCTCTCACCACCCGTGTTTGGTGGTCTCTGCTTCCCCACCCTGGGGAGGCCGATGGCATGGGTAGGCGAAGGAAGGAAGGAATGAGAGCCAGGCTGAGAGCCAGGCTCGTCAGTATCAATTGCAGTTTGTTCTAATCTATTCTCCATTCTCTGGTTCTCCTTCTGCTTCTCTCTCTGGATCCCCCAGCCCACTATTACAGCCTAGTTTATATAGAAATCATGTAGGGTGGTGATACAAAGGTGGGATTAACAAATCAATAAAGAAAGGTAAAGCCACTCCTCCAGGAGATTAACTCAAGGACAAAATCTCATCTAAGATTACTCCAGATTACTAGGAGATCTGCTCAAGGGCGGGATTCCATTCAGGGTGTGTTACTTTCTTCTTTCCCCAGCTAATAATCCACTTAAATAGTTGTAGTAAATTTACTTCTTATATTTCTAGCAATGTCATTTTGTATGAGGACAGTAAGAGACATATTAACCTAAAAGTTTGGTTCTTCCTGAGGACATCTAACTAGATATTCCAGACCACAATCCTCAGGCCAGGCTAGTCTTCCTAACCCCAGCAATGTCCTATTCAGTTACCTCTTTTGGGTCACGACAGAATTTGTCCTTGACTGTGCTCTTAACTTATAGTTAAGTATTGTGGAACCTGGCCTGGCCCATTTTGATGCCAGGGTAGCTCACAGCTTGCCCTCGGTCCATTCAGTTCCTCATCGGGACCCTGCTTTTGGGGTGCTAGGAACTAAGGGCAACTGAGGCTTAAGTCGAGGAAGCAGATGTTCAAGAGTGAATATTATTCAATTAGCTCCCAAGTAACAGAAGCATAATATTAACTGTCTTCCTGTGTCCACACAAAAAAGGACATTGCTTTAAAGTAAACTACGCAAAAGATGGGGAGAAGTAATATTTAACTTACAAGTTTAGTGTCCTTATAAGGATCTGATCTTACAAGTTAACATAATCTGATTGGGGGAAAAGGTGACTAACTGGTTGGGGCGGAGAGCACAGAGAAGAGTTTACAGATAAACAGAGGAATGGGAGTGACTGGGAGCACTGTGATGGGTATAACCTGATAAGCCTAAGCTCCCTGTGGCAAGGGAGAAAGGACAAACCAATGTTATCCTACAATGAGTACCAGTCCCTCATTAAATAATTCAGAGTATACTTAAAATTATGCTAGATCAAATTGGGATTAACCAAAAATGTCAAATGATAGAATAGGAGCTATGAGTAGCAGCTGTACCTATGAAGCCAGGTCAACATATACTGTACAGCCACAAGAGCTAAGCTATTTCAGTATATTTTAGAACTTAACTGCTGATTAAGTCAACAGTTGAAGACTTAAGAAAACTGATAACAGTTCCCTGGCCATCAACAAGATGTACTAATGTGAAGATTAAGTACATGTTTCCCATAATAAACAGACAAGCTGAAGATGGCTCAAGATCTTACCTGATCTAGATATTGAGGAAGCAGCTTAGCCAAGACCTTGGCTGTATTTTCACTTAGTTCAGAAGGCTTGATAATTGCTGCATTCCCTAAACAGAGCAAAAAAACAGGGCAGTTGTGTCAAACATTTGAATGACTTTAATAGCTACCAAAATGATGTTCAGGTGAAGAATACGAGATAAGTACAGCTGTTAATTCTGCTCTTCCTCAAAAATGTGTAAGAGGTCCTCTCACTTAATCTTCCTTTTCAACTTTGTTTTTCTTCAGATCATAATAGAATTCACTGGTCTATTATTCTTTCATTTTCTCTTACTCCTGGATCGTGGATGTTTCTCCCTACTTGTAACAGTTGGGCAATAAGCTATGTCAACATAAAGCTGTTGATCTTGCAGAAGCAAAAAATTAATCTCTTGGCCACTTGCCATATGCCCCAAGAGAGCACTGCTCCCATAGACCTTATCTGAACAGAGAAACTAGTCACACAGAATCAAATGATTTATTTACTGCAGGGCTGGCAACTGAAAGCAAATTAGACTATAGATACCTGACTACAAATTCTTGGATCTATCAGGCTCTGATAGTACATCCTCACAGGTTCATTCCCTGGGTGCCCCCCAAAATACTAACATGCAAATCTTCTCTAGATCCCATTTAAAAAATATATATACAAGGGTCCTGAGTAATAGCATATCAGGTAGGGTGTTTGCCTTGCATGCTGCTGACCCAGGTTCAATCCTTGGCATCCCATTAGGTCTCCTGAGCACAGCCAGGAATGATTCCTGAGTGCAGAGCCAGGAGTAAACCCTGACCATCACCAAGTGTGACCCAAAAAAGCAAAAAAAAAAAAATTGTTTTAATACAAATTCTGTCTGTCCACGTAAACCAAGGCAATAAACTAAATAAAACAAATGTCCTTAATTGGCAACCATCCTTAATTTCCAACTAATAGGAGTAAATACATCCCACTAAAACAGTATAAAGACAAAAGCTGGCTCCTGACCTGCGGCAATGGCTCCTATGAGAGGCTGAATGGTGAGAACAATGGGGTAGTTCCAAGCTCCAATAATCAAAACAACTCCCAGGGGTTCAGGTTGAACATAGGCCTCATCCATCATGGTGAGCAGATTCTTCTTAGCTGGTTCAGGAGTAACCCATTCAGGAAGCTTCTCCAGCACAAGATCAATTTCCCCAAGGATAGTAATAACTTCATGACTGTACGCATTGAGTTCACTCTGTTATTAAAGAATCACAGTTAGGGGCCAAAGAAGGTACAGCGGATAGGATGCTTCCCTTGCACGCAGCTCACCTGGGTTTGATTCCTGGAACCCCATATGGTCCCTTGAACACCACCAGGAATAATTACTGAGTACAGAGCCAGGAGTAACTCCTGTGCATTGACAGGTATAGCCACAAACAAAACAAAACAAAAAGAATCAGTTAACCCTGCATGGATAGGACATGTGTCATCCTGAAGTTTGAAAACCTCAATCCAGGCAGCCAGAGAGACAAACAGGCTTGCCTTGCACACGGCCAACTCTACAACAAACATGGTGCCCTAGAACCAACAGGAGGAAGCCCTAAGCATGGCTGGCTATAGTCCAAAAAAACAAAAGGCACAACAACAAAATCAACCCCTCGGACCTGGAGTATCTGGTAATGACAAATGGCATCAGACTAGTTGGTTATCGTTCAGCTTCCTTTTGTACCTCTAACACCTCCAGAGGGGCTTGCTAACACAGATTCCCTATGTCCTTCTCTACTAATCCAACCCATGTAAAATCAGGCTTAAAAGTTACCTCTGTCAGGAAGATGTCCTTACTAACAATGTCTACCCTGAACATACTTACAAAGTATTTAACACCGCAGCAATTACACTCTTGATTTGTATCTTGATATTTCAACCCAGGACCCTGAAATAACTACACTCACTTTTTATGTTCGTATACTCTAATTGCTTTGTGTTGTGCTTCCCACCCAAATTTAAAACCTTTAAGGGTAAGGAAGTTACTGTATTTTTTTATGTTCCTATATAGCAGACATTCACACAAACATCTGACACTTTAGAACGAAAAGTCCAGACCTTTTAAAAATCTCAACCACACCTGTTTACTTAATCATATCCCCTGTCCACCAAACATAATATGAAGGTAATTTTACAGTTACTATTTTACTACTAATCGGTGAAACAATCTTTGGTGGAAATTGGGGGAGAGTCACAAAGTCAGAGCAAAGACCGGCTACCTCTAGAAAGAAGGCAAAAAGTGATATTACAAAATATAGGGAAGCACAGCAGGTACGGCATTAGCCTTGCACAAGGCCCATCTGGGTTAGATTCCTCTGACCCTCTCAGAGAGCCTGGCAAACTCCCCATGACCTATTCGATATGCCAAAAACTGTAACAAGTCTCACAATGGAGATATTACTGGTGTCCGCTTGAGCAAATAGAGTGCTACACGCTACCCTAAGCATTATCGAAAACCTTGGTATTCTAAGCATGGTTCCAAAAGAGGTTGCATTAAGAATCACTGGGGAGTTCATTAGAAACATGGACTAGGAGACCTCATCCCAGTCCTACCGAGCAATTATTTATATTGTAATAAAATCCCCAGATTTTCCAGCACACTGGAGAGTGGGGAGCACTAATGCTGAAACAAAGAAGAGAAATAAAACTGAAATAAAAATAATAACTGAAATAAAAATAAAATAAATTAAAAAAATCAGCTGAGACAAAAGAGAAATACATCTGCAAATGTCGACAGCTCGGAAAAGTCCCAGGAAACTTCGCTCTAATCTACAATGCTCTACTTCCACAGTGCACAATCAAAATTTCAACTGCGTAATCAATTGCATAATAAAAAAAATTAAATGTCAGCGCTCGGTGGAATGCGGCCGTCCCGCCCGCTTACCTTGCCCAGGTCGGCGCGGATGGCCGCGAGGATGTCCTTCTCGCGCTCCTGGACCATCCTCCGCAGGGCCTCGAGCTGCTGCAGCCGGAACTTCAGGGGCCGCGAGCGGCCCGACCGAAACGCGTCGCGAACCTGCTGCACTCTGCGCTCCATGGCCTCGATCTAAAACAGAGAAGGGAGCTGGAGAGGCGCCGCGACCGTGCCCCCACCGCCCGCCCCGGGAGCAGACGGGCTCGCTCCGGCAGCCCCAGCGTAGGACCTGAGCCGCGTCGCCGCCGCTGCCGCCAGCCACCCAGCGCCCGCGGAACCCGCCGACTAACTGCCCACCCGCGCGGGGCCCGGCCGGCCCGACCCCCAGCCACGCGCCTATTGGCCGGCGTGCGGCACGTGATCTCCAGGCCCCGCCCTCGCCCCAGCCGCACAGGCCTGGGAGTCGCGGCGCGGGGGGAGGGCGCGGGAGGCCACGCCCAGGTGGGCGGGGGCGGCGCGGGGGCCGGGGCGGCTGCGCGTCCGCGGCCGGGAGCGTCAGGGTAGCCTGACTGCAGTCGCCGACGCCGCTGAGCCGCTGACGAGACCCGGTGCTGAGCGGGAGGCGCGCGGCATCCTCAGGGCACGCGGCCCTGAGCTGCCGAACGCCGCAGGGCTCTCGCCCTTGCCCGGACCCCGCGGGACGGACTGCGGCGGGGTCCCCGCGTGTCCGAGGAGCCGGCGCCTCCCTCCGCCCGGAGCGCTCGCCCGGGCGGCGCCGCCCTGTGCGCTCCGGTCGCCGCGGAGGCCGGGACGTCGCCAACTGCGTCAGCATCGCCCGTGCCCGGCCGAATCCTTCCTGGCTGCCCGGACGCCCGGATCACCCCCATTTTTCTGTTGCCCTTCACAACGGTGCCCCAAAGAGCGACCCCACTCCAATTAAAGTTTTGTCCTTCGTGTCTGTGGAACGCAACGTGGCAGAGATTCTCCCTGCTCATCTCTCCGCAGTGGCGCAGCCGCCCCGCCGCCCGCCGCCGCCGACTGCGTCCCGCCCGCGCGACCCCCGAGGCGGCCACGTCCTGCCCGCCCCGGTTCGGGCTTCAGGCTGGTTAACTTGGGACAGCCTATTCTTTGTCCTTCCCACTGTAGTGCATCCCTCCCCCACGGTCCCTCCCGGTGACAGGCAGTATCTCAAAAGTCAGGACAAAGTTCTGAGAATGAATCATCTCTGGCTCTGAACTTTAGAAATCTATTGGATCCAAATACGGACCCCCTCACCCGCCCTACCTAGTCAAGGCCCAATCTTTCCTACTGGAGTGGACATCCTGCCGGTTTCCACCGTGCCTCCGGACCCCGAGGAGTTCTGGCACTCCTAGTCCCGCACCCGCCTGGTTTACTCTCTACCCCCAGGACCGGGAGTATGTAAACTTCCTCTTCCCAGTTCTCATGCTGCCTGGGCTTCCAGAGAAGCTGCACCAGTAGAAGGCAGAGCAAATCCATAATTTGGCAGGAGGAGAAAAGTAACTCCGGATTCAGTCCTGGCAGCTATCAGCCAGTTCTACGACAGAAGTGAGGGTAGCGTGGTTCTTGATGAACATTTTCCTTATTGGCCAGTGTGGCTCTTTAGCAAATGCCAGATAGTTACGACCATGTCTTCCAGTGGCTCACAAGCTAGGGCCAGTTCCTCTAAATTCCAACCATAGGTGTTTTTACTTCTTGTTTGAGGGCACAACCCCGCAGTGCTCAGGGCTCACTCCTGGCTCTGAGCTCAGGTATCACTCCTGGGACCATCGCTCCAGCCTGCAAAACTCAAGATGATTTTAGCAGCTTCTAGTCTTTGACACCAACACATTTTTGCTTTTGAGGACTCTTACTCTTAAAGTCCCCCTGTCTGAAAGTGGTTTCTTTTTACACAGTTGGAGACTGAAACTGCTTCCTGTTACTGACACATCCAGAAGGTACTTTGACCATGGTACATCCCTGCCCCAAACAGTCCCACACCACAGTCCACATCTACATAATCTACTTTACCTCCGGCATTCCTTCCACCTCCTTTTGGGTGGGGTGACACACCTGGAAGGTCTCAGGGCTTACTACTAACCTTACACAGGGATCACTCTTGGCAGTACTCAGTGTATCATGTAGTGCCAAGGATCAAATCACATGCAAGGCAAATGCGTTAATCCTGTACAATCCCTCCAGCCACCCCACTCCAACTTATTTTAAATGATTTCCCTACTTAATGAACATGGGGTCCTTGCTGTCCACTGAATACTGAGCACGTTCCCACTTCTGAGCTTCTGCGTTCTGTTGTTTTTTGTTGCTTGTAGCACTCAACTGTCTCACTCATTTTGTTCTCTGTAAACGTTACCTCCTTAAAAAGCCTTCACAGATCACTGGATCTGAAATAGCAAACTCGCTGCTCTGTCCCTTATCCCGATTAAGTTTATTTGTTTATGTCTGGCGCGCGGTACTTATATGGCAGTGCGAGCGGAGCGATGCCAAGGTTGTGAGTTTATGTCTGATTTCTATTTGTTGTAGCTTTTATAAAGTTAGGAAGTTTAAAAATATATTTTTATAAAGTTGTTGACGATGATATTTTACATTCAATATTCCAACACCAATCCCACCACCATTGCACCTTCCCATCATCATTATTTCCAATTTTCCCAACCACCACCCAAGCCTGCCCCAATAGCGGTCCCTAAATAATTTATTTTGTATTGCTTGCTGTGAATAATTTGCTAAAAGTGATCAAAAAAGATTACCTTAGAAGAAAGTGTGTGGAAAAATAAAAGAAGAAAGTGTGTGAAGTATCTCTCTCTGGAATCACTAAGTCCTTGTATAAGAGATTACTAACATGTTGTTACAGGTTAAGCCTTGTGTGTTAATAGTTTCTTAATCAAGATTGGTTGCCTTCTACTTTACACCCCATCCAATGTGGTGTGCTACTCCTGTTATAACAGCGGTGTAGAGTATGAAATGTTGCTCCAGGAATTCTAAAATTTTGAATGGGTGATACAGGTGGAGTTAAATTTTTAACTGGATGTTGACTTTGGGGTCCAGAGACATCTCTGCAGCTTGTTAATCTCTTTAATCTCTTTTGGGATTTATTTATGAGTCTCTGGATCATGGCCAGTTAATGAGCTTATATTATGTCCATGTGCTCTGCTGAGTCCCAGCCCCAGGCCCTGATCTCTTCATTTCTAACCTTCTATAAAACGTTCTACATTAAGAACACTCACTCTCTCATATATACCCCCAAAGGATGAAATGCCTCAATAATTACAAAGTTACGTCTGACTCTAGAGTCAAGTTCCTGGATACCCCATTGTTTCCCAGTACAAATACAAATATCCCAGCTACACATCACAGCTTTGACCATCTCATGAATCTCCCTTCAGACCATAGGTCTGTGTCCCTGTATAGATATCAGGTAGCTCTTTCCTCTTTCACAATTTGGAAATAAAATTTTTAGAATCTGACAATTGTAGCAGGAGGCGGAATAACATGGGTTCACAGTTGTGAAAGAAAATCTTGCCACAGCAAGAACAGGACTTAGTCCTAAGAAGGAAGAACCTGGGCTTTCCTAAGTCCCTAAGAACCTCGCTCAGCTCTGCTCAAAGCAGCTCAAAGGTATTTTGGTGGAACATCTTCAGAACACTGTAGCTTTCTTGTGGGGCCAGATATACCTCCATCATTAAGTGGGGCAGCCTGGCCAGGTGGCACAGCATCTGAACCAGGGCGGCCATGGACACATGGTTCCAATAAAAGTTCAGGACCCTGAGCTGGGAGCAGAGTTTCAGCGCAGGCAGGATGGCCTCCAGGTGGGAGTCCTGGAGCCCACATATTCCTAAGTCTAGGTCCTGCAGGGTGGATGCACAGTTCTCCAGCAGCATGAGCAGGGGCTCCCTCACCAGGCTCAAGGGGATGCCTCTCAGACTCAGCTCCTTCAGCTGGGTGAGGTTGGGGCACTGGCACAGATGTGTCAAGTCTTGTCCTAGGAGCGGACGCTCCGTGAGGGACAAGGTCTCCAAAGGGGTCCTCAGGCACCAGTCTTTGAGACAGTGCAGGCTTGCAGATGAAAACAGTTCAAGGGGCTGGAGCGACAGGACAGTGGGTAGGGTGTTTGCCTTGCACGCGGCCAACCCGGGTTCAATCCGCAGCATCCCATATGGTCCCCTGAGCACCACCAGGAGCATAGTTTCTTGCCCACAAGCCAGGCTGTCTTCACCTGGGCCCCTCGGAGGGGAGCAGGTTGAGTTTCCCTCCCTGCCCCAAGCAGAGCCCCGGCAGCGGCAGACTTCTGGTGCCCAGTCACAGCCATGCTCAAAGCCACTCTCCACAAGCTTGGACGAGCCTCACACATGAAGGAACTAGCAGAGGAACCCAGGTGCGTGGGTTCCAGGGCTGAGAGATCCAAGCCTGCTTGGATCGGGACTAGGCCTCCTCCACCCAGATCCCCCATTTTCCAGTAGCTAGGCAGTTAGGCAGTTACACCCAAAAACTGCCCCCAGCACCATGAAATCCCATCAATGGCCAAAATTCAGTGCAACCCCTTATAGTCTAGTTCTTCTTGGAGAACTGGGCAAGCTACCAAGAGTATCCTTCCCACACGGCAGAGCCTGGCAAGTTCCCATGGTGTATTCAATATAACAAAAAACAGTAATAATAATGTGTTTCATTCCCCTGACCCTAAAAGAGCCTCCATTGTGGCACCATTGGGAAGGACAAGTAAGGAGAGGCTGCTAAAATCTCAGGGCTAGGATGAATGAAGATGTTGCTGGTGCCCGCTCGAGCAAATCGGTGAATAATGGGATGACAGTGATACAGTGATACAGTGATATGTCTGAGACAGTTCATATGCATGCCTGCCAGGCTACCAGAAGAATGGGGGATCGGGGAAATTTTTTGTTTGAGAGCCTGGAGATTTTGGAGGGACTGTTTTTAATGTTCACTGTATTATCAGTACCTATTATAAAACTTTCCCAATAGTAATAACTCAGTAAATGTATATTTAACAAATGATTGATACCTTCTTAAAGAACCATCATTGTTGTTCATTTCTACTTTCCTCTAAGCTTATTTTGACCCAAAAAAAAAATCCCAAACTATGTAAAAATTAAAATCAGTCATGTTTAAAGGAAGATCTCATGTTTCTCACGGTACAGGGGAAAGTGCCAACACAAAATGAGTATCAAAAAAAAACTTCATGGGGCTGGAGCAATAGTACAGCGGGTAGAGCATTTGCCTTGCACGCGGCCAACCCAGGTTCGATCCCCAGCATCCCATATAGTTCCTCCAAGCACCACCAGGAGTAATTCCTGAGTGCAGAGCCAGGAGTAATCCCTGAGCATGACT